TTAATATTCCTTAATTAATGCTTGTTAAATGTCCATTCAGGTCATTCATTGTAAATATTGGGCTGTCTGGGAAGGTGCCATAGGTTCATTAAAAGTTTTCAAGGTATCTAACACTTCAATGTAGATTTCTTCCATAGTGCCTGGCACATAGTAAGCACTAGATAAATGTTAGCTATTATTATTATTATTAATATTGTCTCATCGTACTCTCCATTTTCATAATTTAGTCAAGAGAATATTTGTGGTTACTAAGCCACTAATTGCATTCAATTTTAACTGGCTTGATTAATAGTCTATATTGGTGATTATCTAATTGGTAAACATAGACTTGCCAACTCTGACATGTAGTGATTTTATGGTTTTTATTTCTGCATTTAAATAATTGTTTTGTTGTTGTGATACTGAATTTTGAACCATTAAGTTTGAGAAACCCCTGCCACCACTTTAAAGTGAGTCTGTTAGGATTGTCTGTACCTTTTAAAGAATAACTTCTGGTCATAATGCAATGGAGTAAATCCAGATAATTTTTCAGTAAAAAGAAACTAGCCTTCCCATTATTTTTGTTTTGTTTAAATAAAGACTACTTTGAATTTTCAAGGATCAATTTTTGAAAACTACATCCCCATCATTGTAGCTCATGACTATATGCTTAGTCTTCAAAGTATCCAGACTCATATCTCTAAGTTACTAACATATCAAATAGGATGTCCTATAGGCATTTTAAACTCAATTTCAAAAACTGAACTTATCATCTTTCCCTTTAAATCCAACTCCCTTCCAAATTTTTCTGTTATTGTCAATTTTACCACCATCCTCCCAGTACCCCAAACTCTCAGCCTAGGTATCATCCTTGAGTCCTCATTATCTCTCAGCCCCCACCCCCACCATTTCCAATCTGTTGCCAAAGCCTGCCAATTTCACCTTTGCAACGTCTCTCAAATATGACCACTTCTCTCCTCAGATACTTCTACTACCCTGGTGGAGACCTTCAGCTTCTTGCTCCTAGACTACTGCAATAACTGTCTGCTTGGCCTGCCTGCCACAAGTTTCTCTGCACTCTGGTCCATTTCCTATTCAGCTACCAAAGTGAATTGCCCAAAGTGCAAGTCTGACCATGTCAAAATTCCACCCTTAACCACTCTCAATAAACTCTAGTGTCTCCCTATCACCTCTAGGATGAATTAGGTGGCACAGTGGATAGAACCAGGTTTAAAGTCAGGAATGTATGGGTTCAAATCCGGCCTCAGACATTTACTAGCTGTGTGACCCTGGACAATTCACTTAACCTAAGTTTGCTTCAGTTCCCTCTACTGTAAAATGGGGATAATAATAACACCTACCTCCTGGGGTGGTTGGGGTAATAAATATAAAGTGCTTAGCACAGTGCCCGACACATAGCAAGTGCTATTTAAATGTTAGCTATAATTATTATTAAATATAAAATTCTATTTGACATTCAAAGCCTTTCGTAATCTTTGCTTTTATACCACCACATATATACAAGTCTTCTTACACCATATACCACACCATGTACCCTTTGATCCAATTACTCTGGCCTCCTTGCCATTGTGTGAACAATGGCACTCCATCTGCAGGCTTCAGGCATTGTCTTTGGCTATTCCCCATATCTAGAATGTTTTCTTACTCATTTCCACATCCCGATTTCCCTGGTTTCATTCAGGTCCTTGCCAAAATTTCACTTTCTACAGGAAGCCTGTTCCAATCCCTCTTAATCCTAATACTCTCTCCTTCTTAATTATTTCTTATTTATCCTGCATATAACTTGTTTGTTTATATTTGTTTGCTTGGTGTCTCCTCCATCAGATTATGATCTGCCTGAGGGCAAGGAATGTTTTTTGTCTTTTTTTTTTTTTGTATACCCAAGGCTTAGCATAGTGCCAGGCACATTATGGGCACTTCATAAAATAATTGAGTAATCAAGAGATTTCTGACTCTTCTAATCATTTAAATAAAGTTTGAGGTAAATGCTGGTTCACTACTTATGATTTCTTTATATTTCTATGTATGTGCCCTTTAATTTGTCAGGAACTTTATATTCTTCACTGTCTTTCAAACTAGATAGATTAATTAAATGACTGACCACAACAATAACAAACCTATTTGGAAGCTTAGCAAACTTTACTAAGTGCCATGAGACTCCAACTGTGGAAATTATCATAAGCATTTATGTTACCTATTTTTATTTAATAAGATTGCAATATTCATTTTTGTTGCATAGTAGCACCGCAAATATGCATATATTATATAGAAATATATGTATATAAAGATAGATAATATACTGAAAGATAATCAATAAATAGATCTTTTAAAGCATAAAGAACTTTTGAACTCTTTTGGGAAAGTAAAATAACCATTATCATGTTTGTGGCCAAATACAAAATAAGTGAAAACATGCAAAAGGCTGAAAGCCCAGAAATGTAGAGGAAATTTTCCAGGCCTCTTCTTCCTGAATCTTTGTGTCCACTAGCCCTGATCATCAAGAGAAATAAATATTTTTACTTTCATGGGAACTGCATTCTTCAAACTGCATTCTTTGAACTCCAGTAGTCCTTCAATGAAGCTCAAGGGATTCAGTAGGGAGAATGGGCAGTGATGGATGGATTTGAGCAGGGGATTGGGAGTTTGCAAAGCCCTAACTAGAAATTCTATCTTCTCAGGAACATTCAGTCATGGATGTAGGCAGAACCCACAGAGGAATCTGCTCAGGTTAAATATCACTGTGCCAGTGGATTTGGTGGCCCATTTCCCAAAAGTTCATTAAAAGCCCTCATATTATAGTGGATGATTGTGACACCTCTTGTCCCCAAACCCTGGAAGGAGGTAGATGGCATACAGGTAGTCAGTACTGCATTAATGAGGAAAAGTATATGCATATTGTCCCCTTACTTGTACCTGCCTTAGGGTTTCTAATGACACTGGCTTATTTTTAAGGTTTCTGAAGCACTTTCTTCACAACAGGCAATTAGTGGAAGTTTTATTATCACAGTTTTACAGGTGAGGAAACTGTAGTTCTGAGACTTTAAATGATTTGCCCAGGATTATAAAGCTAATAGGTATCTGAGTGAGGATATGAATCTAAGTTTTCTGCCTCCAAATTCAATACCCTTCCCCATGTTTCATCTTGAAAAGTGTGAAGAGTTTGGGCAACTTAAGAATCAGGACGATGATATGGTTGCTGAAAAGGAAAGATGTAAACACAGCTCAATTCAATCTGAGTACATACTAGGAGAAACTTCTTTTTAAACTTTTAAAACCTAAATCTTTAGGTTTTAAGACTTTTTCCTCCTCTGGAAGTTCCCTATGTGAGTTAAATCACCAGTCTAGTCCCTTTCCCTATTTATAGTACCTCCATATGTACATTTTGAGTGAAATGAGGCAGCCTGAGTACCTAGCTACCATGTATAACTGCTTCTGCAATAAAATGTATGCTAAGCTACAAACACTGAACTTTTAGAACCCATGCCATTCTTAAATTGGGGACTGCCTATGAAAGGAAACCACTATTTCCACTCTTCTTCCACTTTTCCCAGTTTCACAGCAGCATGTTTTTCATTGACTGCTCTTCTATATAAGCACAAAGGAGTTCATTTGGCATAAAGAACTTCTGAACTCTTGATAAAGTGAAATAACCATCATCATGTTTGTGGTCAAATATGAAACAAGCCAAAACATGAAAAAGTCTGAAGCCTAGAAATGCAGAGCTAAGCTCTTTAGAAATATACACAAACTGCTAACCTTGGGTTCTTCCTCTTATGGAGCTTGATCTTTAATGTAAGCCGGTCACAAGTAATTTAATAGTTAATAAAAATCTTTGAAATGTTTAAAAATTAGTCTTATTATTAGTTCTATTACTTGACTTGATTTGACTTGACTCCATATGTGACTTTGGGCAACTCCCAAGCATGGTACAATAGAAAAAGATTCAGAGATAGAGGACCAGTTTTTGAATCCTGAATCTTCTACTTACTAGTTGTAGGACTTCAGACAAATGATTTAACCTTTCTAAGATTCTGTTTCATCATCTTTTTAAAATGAGTACATTCAACTATATAACATTTCCAGCCTTAAATCTATGGTTCCATGATATCTTATGGTCCTTATTTTCCATTTCTATGAAATGAATAGCTGATATATAATCTTCCTTGCAGTTGTGGTGAATTAAAATATTTCCTAACTATAGTAGTTGGCATTTAAATGATTTTTAAAAGTTTTTATTGCAAGGATTCCATGAATGAATGAATGAATGAATGACAATAATATTTATTAATTGATTACCATGTGCCAAGCATTGTACTAAAGACTAGGGCTACAAATAGAAAATCAAGACAGTACATTCTCTTTAGAAGTTCACATTTGATTGGGGAAAGGAACACAGAAGAATTCAGGGCAGATTGCAAAGTGGGGGTGGTCTTTATGGTATAATATCAGGGCATTTTCTATTTATGTTTCTTTGAAAATGAAGGATCCTTCCACTGCAAAATGTCTGCATTTGGAAAATGACTCTTCATTTTAATAGCTCGATTTCTATGAAACTGGATAGGGGCATTAAGTTGATCATCTGTTCTCTGTATAAGTGAAGACAGAAACCAAATAACTAGCTTAAAATGTTCAGTATAAGCAATGGCTTCCTGAAAGATCTGTAATGCAGAATTCACAGCTTTCCCTAGAGACTTCTAAGAGCAAGAGAAGATCAGCCTGTGTTGAATGAATTAAGTGAAGCTTGCCAAGAGGCTGGTGGATGGACTAAATAACCTCTGGAAGTCTGTTGCATCTCAGTGGTTGGAGGATCTTAGCTGGCTCCTGTTTTGTAGATATTATTTTTCAATCTCAAAATCCTTTAATAGCCTCATTGACTTCAGTATGAGAATTGAATTAGTTGCATTTATTACAAAGTCTATTTTCCTTATGATTTCTGCCTAAATCGTCTGCTTTATATTTTTCTATTTGTTATTAAATGCTTTACCTTTAGACTCACAAACCTTTCTGTCTGTATCAGCATATCAGAATAAGATTGACTTGCAAAATCTTTCTGGTTCGTTGCTTCACCTACACCTGTTTGGCAAGAACTAGTCACACTTCCAGAGCACCCTCTGATTTGTTTTGAACTGAGATGGTCCTGTTGCCTGAGCAACAGAAACACAGAATCTCAGAATTTTCAAGTTGAAAGGGACCTTAGAAGTCATCAAATCCAACCAATAACAAAAAAGGGAGCCTCTCTTTAAGGTATCTGAACAGTGATCATCTGATCATTGTTGTAAAACCTTCATCCTTAGTACAGGACAAACACCTCAAACCTAATGGACTACAGAGCAGTAGTATCACCTACTTATACAGAAGGACAATGAGTTTGTAGTTATGGGATCATAGACTGAGAGTTGAAACAGAGCATAGACACAATCTAGTATAATCTTTTTTTTTTCATGAATGAGGAAACTGAGGCTTAGAGAGGTATACTGGATTGCCAAGGTCACTTACTTTTGAGTATGAGTCAGGATTTTGAACCCAGGTCCTTAATTTCATAGGTTTTGGCTTTGAATCCTGGCTTTACTACTTACTCTGTGACTTTGAATGAGTCATTTAATATTTCACACCTTAATTTCCTCATCTGTAAAATGAGGATTGTACTAGGTGACCTCCAACTCTAAATCGATTATATTATATCATTATCTTGGAATACTCTGCCATAACATCATACAGTCTGAATTTTACAATTATCAGTCCTCTTCTGAACTCATTATATCAATTAGTTAATAAGAATGCCAAGGGAATCTGATGCTATTTATCTTTCAAATATATTGCTCATTGCCCTTAACAATGTGTTATGTGTTTTACTAATAAGTGAGTTAAGAAGTCATATCTTAAATCCATTTCTGCAAACACTTTTATGCATTTGCTTATGCAAAACAAAACAAAGACTTATTGCTCATGGCTGAATGAGTCATGATGTCAAATCACATTTATTCATATGTGATTAATTATTTTTGGACTCACTTTCCTCATCTATAAAATGAGTGGGTTTGATCAAATGACCTCTAAGATCCTTTGCAGGTCGAAATTTCTGTGATCTTTGGAAAATTATGTAAGAAGTATATATTCTGCTAACGGAATAGATATTAGTTAACAACTGCTAGAGGCAGATAGGTGGAGCCATGGATAAAGTACTGGGCCTAGAGTCAGTAAGTTCAAATCTGGCCTCAGATACTTAGTAGCTGTATGGCCCTGGACAAGTCATTTAACTTCTGTTTGCTTCAATTTCCTCAAGTGTATCCATGAGATTGAGAAAAGGCCATTGGATTTGGCAACTAGGAGATCATTGGTAAGGTTGGAGAGAGTAGTCTGTGGAACACCTACAGTTAGACGGTGTGATCTCAGTGAGAATCTGGCAAAAGAGACTAAGAAGGAATGGTCAAATATGTAAGGATTAAATAAGTTTATGTGAGGATAAAATAGGATTATATCTGTTTAGGTCTTAGCATAGTGCCTGGCACATGGTAGGTACATGATATATTCTTTTTTGCTTCCTTTCTTCCTAATAGCTTTCTGAGCTTGATTTTTCAGAGTGCAAGACATATATTCTTTTCCAATTTAGACTATATCTTTTGGCATTTGAAAATTTCTCCTCCATATTCACCATAGATATGGACATTGCTTCTTGTGTACTTGTGTGCAAAGCAAAGGTCAAGTAGACACTAAATGCATCTACTGACACCATTTTCTGGTGTTCCAATGCATTTTGGGGACAAGTAGATTGCTAAAGAATTTAAAAATGATGTGAATTCCTGGTGGTCCAATTGGTTCTTGTTTCATTTTGTCCCATCTCTTTATAACCAAACTGAATAGCAGCAACGATGTGCAAATAAATCAACTTTATCTTTGTTCAGCTTGAGAAAACTGAAGTTGACATCAAGTGAAAAAGCATTAAGTGTGGGTGTTGACAGAGGGAAAAGAAGAAACAGTGAGAGTTGGCAAAGGAATAAAAATGGATTCTTTGCCCCTCTCCTTAAGGAACAAGAACATAACATGTTTCTTACTAATTAGAGTTTTTGGCATTCCCTAGACTGCTAGTTCTTATTATGGAGTATTTAGTATAGTTTATGCTTATTATGGTATATGTTCTCAGTTTGTAAAAGTCAATATTATGCCAACATTTCCATAAAAAAAAGCTGAGTTTCAGGAATATGAGGTACATTACTGAGTTCAAATTTACAAATGCAATGAACTTAAGAGGGCTCCTGGTCTAGAGATGTCTTTTTTTTTTAACCATATGAGATATTTTTTAACCATTTTCTCATATGAGAAGATGAAGTGAAGATTTGAGGGGGTTGAAATAGTTTCTTCAATGGTTCTTCCTAGTTTGAGAAATGTAAACAATGTCAGAAGAGAAGGAGAAAGAGATGGAGAATCAAAGAAAAAGACTGAGTCAATATAGTATAGATGAATAAATGTAAGAGTGAAATAACTAGGAAGTTTAGAAAACACAGAATCATAAATCTCTGAGTCAGAAGGGACCTCAGAGTTCCCATCCAATTCAATGGCAACTTAAACCAAAATCCTCTCTACAATCAATAACAAAAATTATCTAACTTTTGCTCAAGGACTTCTAGTGATGGGGAGCTCACCACTTCCCAGAAAGCCCATTGGGCTTTTGGTATATCTATGGTTGTTAGAAATTTTATTCACATATAGAGTCTAATTCTGCCTTTCTATAACTTCTGCCCAGAGCTACCAATTCTACCTTTCAAGACCAAGCCTATTACTTCTTACAAACGACATTTCTTTAAATATTTGAAGACAGGTATCATGCTCACCCCAAATTTCCAAAGTCTTCTCTTCTCCAAGCAAAACATTCCAATTGATCCTCTTGCTCATCACCCTTTCCTGGACCTTCCAACTTATTGATACCATCTCTAGTCTCCTAGAACTGAGTCCAATCTCCAAATTGGGTCTGAGCAGGGGAGTTTTAGAGTGGAACTATCACTTCCTCCTTGACAAACATGAAAATCATGTCTTTTAATGCCTTTAGCAGCAAAGAAAAATGAGTCATGGGCTTGTTGAAGTTCACCTGTGGAACTAGTAGCAACCTTGAAGGTTGAGCACAAGCTTTCTAATCCCATATCTAGTGATTCAAGTAATTTTTATACCACACTGTACTACCTGGTCTCAGATATTTACTAGCTATATGACCTTGGGCAAATCACTTAAGACTGCTTACCTTTGTTTCCTCATCTGTAAAATGGGCTAAAGAAGAATGCGGCAAACTACTCCAGTATCCTTGCCAAGAAAACTCCAAATGGGGTCATAAAGAGTCATGTGTGACTGAACAACAACATGGCAGGGAAAGGTAGGGGTGAATGAAGATGATTTTTACCTACTGTCATTTTATCCAGAGACATATAAACCTCTCTGAGATGCTCACTAAAGAGTCTAAGGCAGAAGCATCTGCATTTATTAAATAAAGGCAGAGTGGCAAGCTTGGTTCCAGAGATTATTTTCTTTCTTTTTTTTCCCTTTATTTTGGGGGGTGAGGGTAGGCGATGGGGTTAAGTGACTTGTCCAAGGTCACACAGCTAGTAAGTGTTATGTGTCTGAGGCTGGATTTGAACTCAGTTCCTCCTAAATCCAGGGCAGGTGCTCTATCCATTGCATCACCTACCTGCCCCTAGAGATTATTTTCTTCAGACCAAGATTAAACGCTGTTTCTAGAATAGGATGATAGCTTTAGAACCAGAAGGATCTCAGAGGCCATCCAGGCTAACTTTCTTATTTGACAAAGGAAAAAAAAACCCCGAGGCACAGAGATGTTAAGTGACAAGCTCAGGGTCACTCTGGTAGCAAATATCGATGTCAATATTGGAATTCAAGTCTTCTGAATCAAAGGCCAGTATTTTTTGGTCTTCTCTACACATTTTGTCAAGTGGCTTGAGGTAGGTTTGAGGATTAAGGATCTTCTCCCCATTAAATCTAGGAAAGGATTGTATAGAAAAAAATTTAAGTTCAGTATCAGGGAATGTGTCCCAGGAATCTGTTACTCCTCTTATGCTTGTATTGTGCTTTTATTCTATTAAATAGTATTACCATATTTAGAGCCTCTTGTTTTAAAAGTTCAGTTTAGTTTCACTTGTCAGGGAAAATAGTGATGGCCATTCCTGGGAGGGCTTGAAATCAGCTTATTTGAACTAGATATTGGTAGATCATTATGCAGTCTGAAACCTTCAAACTGGGAGGTACAAGAACAGATGGGCTATTTTCCAGTCACCTGCCTAAATATGCAAATGACTAATGCAGTTACATTCTGTCTGGTGCCTACCACATTGTTACCATTCAATAATTATTAAGCAAGCAGTCAGTGCCCTGAGTCAATTTGGATTACTTTTTTTTTTTTTAAATGGAGGATCTTGTAAGCAGGTTATTTCTTGAAGCAAGTCAAAGGAAACCAAGTCTGTACTTTCGGGAAACAAGATACAATTTCATTTTATGCAGCAAGCATTCAGTTTTCAGTAATAAAGAGGTCATGGATTTAGTATCTGTGGTTGAGATAGAAAAAACGTATTTGCATCAAAATACATGAGTCACCATAGTGTCCCTGTAAAGAGAATGTGACCTCAACTTTTCTTTATACAAAAAAGAAAATTCTGCACTTTGTGAGATTTGATTGAGTCTTTGCAACCCCAGTTCTGGTTTAAGCTAATTTTAAAATAAAGAAGGAAAAGCTTGAAGTGAAATTATATGGCACAATGTAGAACTGGCTAACTTCTTTGTTGAAGGGCTCTAAGCTCAGATCTTAAAATAGTTCCTGGGCAGTGAAGATGTTTATTTCAACTTTTAGCCCCACCTTCATGCATGAATTAGTGGATGGATAACACATTTGAAATACAAAGAACTCTTTAAATTTCACATACTCTGAGAGATTTCTCTCTTCCCAGAAACACTATCCCTGCCGCTATTTTCTTTTACTAGAGTCTGGATTATTGATAAAAACTAGGGTATTTACTCCAAGAAACTCTTTGTTAACATCACTTAAGAGTCAGGTAATTTAGTTATTTCCAGTCAGAGAATCAAAGACACCCAGAGTTGAAAAGGCCT